AGAGAAGGTCTGCATGGCCAACTTAATTCCAAAGTCTGTATGTCTGTAAAAGAAGGGGGATAGGTGAGGATGCTGCTGGTTGGTTGATTATGTTGTTGGTTGATTGGGTTGTTTTTTTTTTTTGGTGATTGGGTGTTTTTCTTTTTACTATTTTCACCCCCCCTTAGCCATTTAAGCTGTCTCTCGACAATGAACATCTGGGATTGGAGTTAATTGTGCGTGGGCTATTAACTGCAGAATATCAAGGTTTAACAAAGCTAAAATTTCCTTCAGCAGGTGGTTTTGTCTTACTCCTACACTAATACCAGTATTATTTTAATGTTAGAAGCTCTTCAGGTTGCTCTGCCTCAGCCTCTCTTCAGAGTATAGGACAAGGTGAAAGACAAACCTTTCTGTTTGAGTTTATTTAAGAATTAATTGTTCAAACCCTTGTGAAAGTATTCTTCATGATGCTCTACTGTAGCTAAATTAAAGGGCAAATGCTTGTCTTGCTCTTGTATATCTCTTAAACAAGAGCAAACTATTGGTTTTCCTTCCCATGCAGTTGGAGTGCTCTCACAGGATGGTTAGGGAGGTGTTTGAGGTGGGAGAGCTCATTACAGTTCATTATTTTTCAGCTGAGTAAGAAGGATTTATTAGGAGAAATAAATGTGCAAATTTAACAGCTTTGTTCAGATAATGGAGGATTTCAAGTGTTTTTGACACTGCAGATCACTAACTGGATTAATAAGAGTTGGATACAAATCATCCTTAATCTAGTTAAGGGCTTGTAGCAGCTTGTGGCAAAGCCAGTGGTTTTGCTTACCTCAAAGAGCAATTTGAAAAAAGCTCTTTCCTTTTGCGTGTATCAAATTAAATAAATGTGGTTCCCAGTTGGGGCAGGGTTAGATCAACTAATCACCTACAAATCTCCCTCTCATCATGAGAGAGTGCTTCAGATCTCTGCTATAGCAGGAGGGAGCTCTGTAGCAGCTGATGGGATAAACCCAGAGAGACTCGTGTTTTGAGACTCTGACCAAGATGAAGACCGAAGAATAGTTAAAAATGATACTTTAAAAAAGGAAAAAAGTCTGGACTATGTCAGCCTTCTGGATCCAATAATACTGCTAATGAGTTGTGAAAGCCTGGCCCATTGTTGATTAAATTGAAGATGCCACTAAGCAGCTTTCTGGTTGTCCCAGCAGAACTGAATAACTATTGTTCTGCAACAATGCAGTGCTCAGCAAGAGCAGAAGCTAACAGTCACCCCAGGGTTTCCCCTAAACAGGCTGCTTTGATCCCTGCGGAAGAGGGTCTTCCACTGGTTAATGAGAACTGGTTAAAGCATATCAAAAATATGGTTAAAATTTTTACCCCTCATGTGGAACTCAGTGACAGTAAATCAAAAGGACTGGACAAGTATTTCTAACCAGTTATCTGCACTGCTAATAAAACCCCAACAAAACCATACAAGTTTCTTAAATGGTGAAAAAGCAACGTGTTGTATGTGCTCAATAAGAATGTAAAGATTTTTTGACTAGAGTACATGAGATACCATCAGAGAGCCTTCAAAGGATCCACTGTCTAAAAGGCAGAGTGAGCTTGTTTTAAGTTGGAATTATTTTCAGCTCTTTTGTATGATAGCATAACCCAGCGTTCTGTGCCCCTAATCCTCTTGGCTAATCAAAACCTTTCCCATTGGTGTAAGTCAGCTTCAATAAAAGGTCATGGAAAAACCTTGACCATGAGGTGTTTGTTGTTTGAACAGCATGGTCTGTCTTCCTGATGCAAGCCCAAATTAGTTCAGTCCCTTCCAACGCTGTCCTGAGTCAGTGTTTTCTAACCTTGCTGTGTCTGAAATCCCTCAGCAGCAGATCATTATAGAAGCTTGGCCTTTCTGCAGTACTTATATTTTGTGGGGAGGTTGCCATCTTTAATGCGCATTGAAGCTGTAATTTATGGAGCAAGAAATGTAGTCTTTATATAACCGTACAGTTACATAAATTGGGCAAATGTTCCTTAATGCTCATGTGTCGTGAAATTGGATGATGTCATGAAATTACAGTACTTTGTGGGTATTCTGACTGCTATTCACATCTGCATAATCCTATACTGTCCCTTGAGTATTTGGGCCAAAGAAAGTCCCTCTCAGATCCCAAGCTGCAAAGTGCCTGGTCAAAGGGAGGTGCCACAATGCCCAGAGGAGCAGCTGGGGACAGGACCCTTTGGGGCGTATAACTTCACTGAGTTCTGGTATAAAACTCTGGAAAGCAGGCTTTACTGATCCTGATTCATGTTTTCTGTTACTCTCTCATGTGCAGCAGGCAGCCTCAGGGGACCCAGACTGGTCTGAGTCTGCCGCTGTGTTTGGAGGGAGGGTGCTGAGCAGCTGCTGGACAGCTCTGCCCTGGAAACACCATTGGGTGTCCACTGCCTCAGACCAGGCTGCACTGGGCTTCTCTCCTCTGGGGAGACCCTCACTGTCCCTGCTCAGATACAGAGGTCAAGCTGGGAGTCACGGGTATGTAACAAAGGCTGTGGAGAAGCAGAGCTTGCAGCAGCCTGGGAAGACTCAGAGCTCAGGTGTGAGGGAGGGTCACACTCCAAAGGAAGTGTGGCACAACTGAACAAGCCTCACCTATTAAACCCTCAAGGCGAAGGGGTGCAGGCTCAATAGTCAAGATCAAGAGTTGCCATTTTATTTCTTGACAATCTGTGATCCTTTCAGGAGGATTGTTGAGGTCTGCAGACAATCAGTCTGTCCAGGTGTTGTTGGAAATCTCTGAGCTACCTGAATAGTCAGGTAGCCTCGATCCTAGCTGAAGGTGTATGGTGACACAACCTTAAGCTGTATTGACAGTCTCTTACTTCAATAAAAAGCTGGAGAGTTTGCTTTCTAGCTCCTTCAAGGAAGTCTTCCCACTGAGAGGAGAATGCAACCCCCACCTTTAGCAGCACGTTCCCCTTTTGCACTCAGCCAGGCTGAGTGAAAGAACAAAGGGTTGTGTTTGCCACTGCTGGTGTGAGAAGTGAGGGAGAAAAATGGTCCCCAACCCCCCATCAACAAAAATGGTGCAATTTCTGAGGCCTCACTTTTCTTCTGAATGTACTGGAAAGGGCACGCGAGGGAGCCGAGTTTGGGCAGCCTGGCAGTTCTTTCTTTATTCTTTATGCACCAATAGTTTGTACTCTTTAATATTTGAAGTGTAGTGAGATCAGCCTGTGTGAGTCACCACCCTTCGACACAAGAAGGAAAACGCACGGGAAGTACTTATCTGACCTACTTTTCGTGAAAGGGTGCAAAAGCACAGTGCAAACAAGCAGGGACAAATCTAAAATTCAAAATTACCTCATGACTTGCAGTTAAGCAAGAGATCGAAGGGCAATTCACTCTAGAAATATGCTTGCAGAAGCTTAAGGAATAGTGCTTTGGGGGTTTATTTTCAGTAGGGAAGAAAAGAGCTAAAAATACTTATGCCTATATGAGGAGTTTTTGTTCGTAGTTTCTTGTTATTAAAAAAAATTAAAAAATCATACAACTACAATAATTGCCTACAAGGGGTATGCTCTTGGGGCTGAATAGGCTGGTGGCAACTTGGTTACTTGTCTTCAGAGAGGTGGAATCTACTGGCCTAGTTAACCACCTTGGAAACTAGTTCTGTGGAAATGTGGGGAATGAATAAGGTGTTAAGTGTGGAAGAGAAAACTGGATAAACCTGGTATCTTAAGAATAAGAAGGAGATAGAACGAATAAACACATCCATTGTAGGTAATGAAGTAACAGCTACAGAGCTGGATTGTTTTGACAGTACATACTGGTGCTGGCTAACTTCTTCCTGGGATGAGGATGAATGTTATATTAATTTTTAAGTGGCACTATGTTAATGCAAGCTAGAGAAGTACAGTGGGCCTGGCTGCAAACCTGGCAAGAATATGTGTCCTTTTTTTTTTACATAATAAAATGAGACTTTGCACTTCTTGGGATCCTAGGGATCCCACAGCTTGGATGATGCAATGTGACACCTAAACTTGTGATGGCAGTGCTGGAAAGGGGTGACAAAGGTGACTTGAGGATGGGATAGAAGTCAAAATTTGTGAAAGCGGGGAAGGTAGTTGGATGTCAAAAAGATGAAATTTGGAAGAAGTGACTTTATAGGGCTTTGGTTTGAAATCTGAGAAGGGAAAATAACTGGTTAGGTAATGGTAGCCCTGCAGAAATTTAACCTGAGGCTAGTCATGAGCTGAGAGTCAGGCATGCTGGTGATAGCAGCAGTAAGTGCATACAGCACAGGCCAATGAGATGCATGCAGTAATCATTCTGTAATTAGTAAACACTAAAAGAGTGTTGTCATCTTTGGGGATCCTGAATAGCTTTGAGTGTTGTATGCTCTGACAAACAAGTGCCATAGGATGAGAGTTTAGCCTCTTGTTTCAGCAACTGAATTTCAGTGCTGGTTAGTGCACCTCTTGGAGCATGAATGGAGAAATCTCAGGGCTTACTCTCCAACATGAAGGCTGGCTCTGGACTTGTTTTGGGTGCCCACACTTAATAAAAAGGGACTTTGATTCTCCTTCCAGCTGGGTCCTATAGTTTCAGATATGTGAGCAGTATTTGAGTCAGAAAGGGAAAGAAGACAAACGACTTTGCCTCCCCTTCCCTTCTGCTCCTTAGAATTAATGCAGTGGTTTGCAGATGGAGTGGTTGGTAGATAAGGAAGACACAAACAGCAGCTAGAACAGGCTGGTCTGAGCATTGCCTGCTACCAGGATACAGCACTGAATGGATTCCTTGCTTTCTTCTTTCCCAAAGCAACTGCAGCCTGGAAGCAGTGCAGAGAAGGGAGACAGCAAGACTGACCTTTCAACACCAAACTTTCTGACCAGACCTACTCTTTTGGGAAGGGGAGCTCTAATGAGGGAAGATGAAAAAATACAATCTGAACAAAAAAAGTTTGTGACCTCTCGGAGCCCCTAGAGGATTCAGGTTGCAAACAATCTGATCACTTCAATCTCATCACTGACACATCTTTTTGCTCTTCTCTTTAAAGCAAACTACAAATCTGAACCTTCCCCCTGAAGACCTTGATTCTTCTGGTGATGAAGACGATGCGTTCTCAGGTTCAGGTGCAGGTGAGTTATTAGCACTTGTGCTGGCAGTGCTTGATCCTTCCAGGATGTGGCAGCTGAGATCTCAGTGAGCACCCAAGTGAAAGGGAGTAGGGGGAGGAGTCCACACACACACCCCCACCCCAGAATATGAGAGCTGGGAACCAATCTATTGATCTTGTATTCCTTGAGATACTAACAATTATTAGAAAATGAGCTGTAGGAGACTTGAAAGGGAGCAGAAGCAGAGGAAGAGTCCATGTGAGTGCTAATGTGAGATGCTGTGTGAAGAATGTTAGGAAACTGGAGTGATTCTTCACTCATGGGGAAGAGAGATCATAACAAGGCTCTTTATGAGCATGTAGGAGATGTTTGAGGGTGTGTAAACCCCAGCCTACCAACCATACCATGTATCAAGTGCAAACTTTATCTGTCATCAGGTGTGCCATGTTCCCATGGGCCATAGTTTTTTATAAGTGATAAAGGGAATTTAGGGTAGGGGAAAAAGTCCATAGAAATGATTGCTAAACTGCATGAGAGAGACCCTTGGCATTCAGTACTGAAGCTGAGGGGACGCTGGAGAGAAAAGAGCAAGCTATTGAAAGCTGAAGCATTTTATCCTTCTGCTTTCTTCCAGACACAAACTTGTATTTTAGATTAAACTCTGCAGAAATTAAGATCCTGAAATCAGTACCAAATGTGGTAAAGGCTGAAGGTGTGACTGCTCTGAATCAAATAAGAGTGTTTATGGAAAAAGACTCAGATAACCACCCTGAGGAACCAGTGTACTGAAAGCAGATTTCCCTTGTCAACCTCACCACAAACAGACAGGCACTTTTGCCTTGGGGAGAAGCAGATGACTAAAAATTGCTGAATAGCACATTGCTCTGTCCCTTCCTTATTCCACTGAAAAGGATGAGGAATCACAAACTGAACCGCTGTTGTTATAAAAATTTATTGTGAAGGTTAAGCATCCTCCTTAGACTAGTGTCCTGGAGATACTATTAATAGGCCTCTCAACTGGCCAAGGATAAATTTGCTTGTTTGTTTTGCAGGTCCCTTGACTGACCAGTCTCACACCTGGAGAATCCCAGGAGACTCAACTAATTCCTCAGTACTGGTAGCACCAGTGGATTTCAGTGAACAGCCATTTCCTGGGATCGAGAGCAGAACTGAAAAGGAAGTAATATCTCCTTCTGCAACCAGTAACCTAGTGACAGAGGAACCAGTTGTAGCTGTGAAGGATGAAGTACCCCTCCTGGGCTCACCTGATGGGAAACCAACAAGCCACGTAGTCACAACAACAGTGAGAACCCCCACTGCTCACTTCCCTTCTGTGGTTCATGTGACTCCTTCAGAAGCCTCTGCTGTGGCCCATGAACCCAAAATCCCCAGCTCTGATGTGCCAGACACCAAGGACGTGCCTGAGCCCCACTCTACTGTCCATCCTGAGGGAGACAGCGCTGCCACCCCCGCGGCCACAGCTCCAAAGGATGTCGTTCCTACACATGAGGAGGTTTCTGAAGATGGCTCTGGAGACCCGGTGAGGACTAATAGCTCTGACACCCCTTCCAGGGAGATGTCTTTAGTAGCATGTAGTAAGGAATGGGTGTTAATTTGTCAAAAACAGTGATTGGTTTAAGGGGTTCTGTTGGTGGAAGGTTTTTAGATGAGAAAAACAGTGCACTGGAAGGTCTCCAGAATGATGAGAAACATGAATAACCTGCCTTGTATGTCCCAACAGGGAGACTTCATCTTGACTAAAGAAGAGGATTTTGTCCCCACGCAGAGCTCAGAAGTGCTGCCTGACTCTGAGAGGAATGCCAAAGCAGCAGGAGCCTCAGGAATTATGGACAGAAAAGAAGTTCTTGGAGGTACCAGATATTTTGGATTTCTAGTTGATAAAAGCAGATCCTTGTAGGAGTCTCCAGGCAGTTGTGTCACATCTCTAAGCAAGGAAGCCAACCTTTTATGTTAGACCTCTGAAATGAGGGTGATGATTCTGTGTTGTCATAACCCTAACAGGGGCAAATATTTGTCTGCTAATAGCAGGTAGCAGTGGCTGCTTTATCTGCAACTTTATTTAAACCTCTTCCTTCACTCCTCTGAAAAATTACAGTACAATTTCTCTGTTGCTGCCTCAGTCAAATTGCCAGGGTTGAGCACCACAGGCTTGTGTGCTTTGCAGCATAGCCCAGTGGGAGATCCATGTCCCTAGGACTGGCTGCTATATTTGAGCAGGTGCTTGGTTTGGGAGGGGACAGAAGGAGAAATTAATTTAAGTCATTTAGCCAGGGACAAGTAAGGAACAATTTGGAATGTATCATAGTAGCACTATCTGGTATGGCATCTAGAGTAATCTGTGTCTTTTTCTCCCCTTCCAGGTGTAATTGCTGGAGGACTTGTAGGCTTGGTGTTTGCAGTGTTTCTAGTTGCATTTATGCTGTACAGAATGAAGAAAAAAGATGAAGGCAGCTATTCACTGGATGAACCAAAACAGTCTAACGGAGGATACCAAAAACCACACAAACAAGAGGAATTCTATGCATAAACACTGATCTTCAGGACACTTCTTATTCCATCTTTCTTGGACTCTTCTCTCCCTGCACGTGGACCTCCTAGTGTGCTTTGCATTAAACTTAAGCCATATGATCATTGGGTTATTTGCCCTTACCACTTTGCCATTGGAAATTTTATAACTACAAAGTAGATCTGGATTCATTGGACATTCCCTGCTTTCTTGCACAACTTTTTTTTTTTCTTTTTTTTTTTTTTTTCTCTCTCTCTCTCAACAGAATTGGAACTGCAAGTTCCTAAACTCACTTTGGTTTATCTAAAGACTGCTGGGGCAGGCGGTGGGGAGAATATAAGGGAGCACTGTATGTATAAAACTCTGGATATTTAGGGAAAGGGCTAGCAAGAATAACCAATTGTCAGTGCTCAAATTCTGTATAGCAGGGATCCTTCCTATTTAACTCATAGATGTGTTTTGAGTGTAACAAGTGGCTGTGCTGGACAGACATTTGGTACTACACTGCTATCCTCTAGCTCTTTCTGACAGCTGTATTTGGAGCACTTAATGCCTATGAAACATCAAGATGAACTTGATCCCTTGCCAAAAGGAGGTGTGAGGGGCAGGGTAAACAAATAACTGTCACGTGGTTTAAAATAACTTGTATTTTGGAAGCATTATCCCATACTCAGAACCAGCTCCTAAGCAGTTGGTACATACACTAGTAAAAAACAAACCCCAAGAACCCCAAAAATAAGCAGAGAGTTAATTTTACCAATAGTGTTGGGCTGTCCCACTACCGTCTCTCTTTCTCTCTCTCTCTCTCTCTATCTCTCTCTCTCTCTCTCTCTTTCTCTCTCTCTCTCTAAAGGCTTAGGTAAGAAGTAGATTTTCCAAGCAGTCTCATCTCAGACATTCCCTTTCCTAGGTGCTGTCCTGCTGTAGATGGTCTTACCCCGTGCAGTACCAGGTGACCGGGGGATGTTGTGGCACCTCCGGTCACCGCGGTTGTCTCGGAACGCGCTCTGCCCTCTGTGCCACAAGGTGCCGTGGGGTACCCTGTGGGGCACACAGGGGTGCAGGTGGCAAGCAGCACATCATGACTGCAGCTAAGGAGTAGAGAAGCATCTGAAATGAGCCTGGGGAAGGCTGAGTGCAAGTGGCCTTAAACAGATGCAACAGTTGGCGTGCTTGACTCTCGCTACTCCAGAGCGGCTCCTCGGGAGCTGTTCCTGCACTTTGGAGAGAAGCCACTCCAGGGATGTCAGTCTAGGGCAGAAAAGCACCTCCTGTGCAAAGTCAGGATGCCTGAAGCGCTGTGTATGGTCAGTGTGCTGTCAGATGTCAGGCACTGGGGCCTCACTGGGGGTCTGGGGTTCTCCAGACTGTCTCAAAGCGAGTGAACACGAGTGTGGTGTTCTGTACAAGCCTTACTTCTGCTCTGCCTTTGGGTAGCTTCTTGCCACTTCAGTTCCTCGTCACTCAGTGCAGAAGGTATGGGGTGGGTGGAGGAGTGTTTACAACCGATGTAAATATTTGTACTGTTGAGCCAGAGGGAATGATGGGAGTATACTGGACAATATTGCAACAGTTGGTACAAATGTTGCACGTTAAAAGACAAACTTAAAAACCTGTGTAATTTAAATGAAGTATAAAACACTCCTGAGCTGCCATGCAGCTAAAATTGGTGCCTTCTCTTCAAACACAAGAAAAAAAACCCAAAATGTCTTGATTCCAAACTCTTCTTTATGCACATGGAGAACTTGTGCATATGTGTAGCTGGCTGTTTTTTTAAGTAAAGTTGCAACAACCATTATGGTTTTTTTAGGGTTGTTTTGTTTTCATTTGTTTTTTTTTTGTTTTGTTTTTGTTCTTTTTTTTTTAGATTTTTTTTTTTAATGAATAATTTTTATAGGTTAATGCAATGACCAGATGGTGTTAATTTCAGCTGTAATTCTTTGCTTTGTATAGGAATGTAGAAATGTTTGATAGGTCTATCTATGAAAAGGTTCTTGTAAAGCACAGAAAGATAAAGTAGTAAAATTCAGTTGTACCTCACAACCTTGTTAGGGAGAAAGGAAAAAAACTGTATATTTTGGTAGTCTTAACTGACAGTTTGTGAAACAAACATGACATTCTGTGTTATTTAAGTGGTACAAATGAAATATGAGTTCTGACAGAACATGCAACATTGGGTTATCTGTATGCCATGTAAAGGTATACTGCAATAAATGGCATTTTGGCAAGAATGTGTCTGACACAATCTGTCTTGAACATTGGTGTGTATAATAATTCAAAAACTAGATGTTGTTTTTAAGACTGCCTAGGTCTTTCCAGAATTTGGGTGACAGAACTGTGAATTTTGGGGCTAAAGACACAGATTCAGTTCGGCATTTTAAGGGTAAGAGTGGCCTGCCTTCCCTCCCACCCTGCCTTGGGTGTCCTGTTTGCTCTTGCTGGAGGCACTGGTGTAGGATACAAATGGGCTCTGGTGGAGACTTGAATGAAATGGCTTTGTTAGAGCCCTGCAACATTTCATGCTGGTTCTGATTTGGGGACCTCTCCTTGTGCAGAATCCTCAAAACGGTGATAAGAGTTGCAAATCTTCCCCAGGGTTTCCTCTCCTGCCCTCAGGAGTTTGAGAGCAGAGAGGACTGTAGGAGGGCAGCCCCAAGCCTTCTGTTAAAACCTGCTTTCCAAGATGAATTGGAGATTGTGCCCCTAAGGAAGGAGAACAGAGCAGGCTTGTCCTCAGTATTTTGTGCAGCATCAATTACTCTGGGGTGCTATGGCTTTTGTGGGAGGAGATGGAGCAACACAGAGGTAGAGGAAAATGTCCTTCACAAAACAGGGAAGTCAGGATCTGCTGTCTGTCAGGGTAGGTCTTACTGCAGCTTTACAATTATTTTCTTTTGTAAGGTTTTGAACTGCAAGAAATGAATTTTTATTCTGTAAACTGGTCACTATATTTTGAGTTTGTTTATGCTGGAACAATGGGGGCTATGTTTACAAAAAAAAAAAAAATTGTAGGTAATCAGAAAGTTTTGAGATCAGACAAAAGGATTGATGGATTGAATTTAGAAGACTTAATTACAGCTGAAAAGTGCTTTTTAACTTAATGCAAACTTTGCCAATCCCTTAAACTTGGTAAAGACTTGTGTAAGATCAGAATTGGCTGGTTTGCATTGCAGGGCCTTACCAGCTGTGAATTCACTTCCTTAGGGGTTACCAAGACTTTTGCTTCCCCTTTTCCAGTCAGTGATAATGTGTGAAGTTAAGGCAGTGGGGAGGGAATAAAATTAAGTGCTACGGGAAGTGGGAAATTCCTGTGTGAAAATCCTTGCAAGTGCAACACTTGTCTGATCCCTCAGTGTGCACCTGAGAGAAATTTTGTTGTACCAAGAGAGAATTATTTACAGGAGGGCCTCTGTACTTTGGCACTGGGTTTTCCTGAGTCACATTTCTGTTCCCTATGCTTCCTGACTTTCTTCTTCATCCATGCTGGAGCAATTATCACATTTGCTCTTGTTCACAAGTAAGATGTAAAGAATGTGGCTGGCAGAAAAATTTGACCTCTTCTTTGTTCTGGAAAAATGAGCTGGAGGGTGTAAATGCACTGCATGTCAAAGAAGGCAAACTATGAGAGAAGGAGGACTTTTCACAATTCTCACTTTGTCAAGTTGTATTAGAGCCTATAAAGGAAGCTAAAGCAAACCTAAAAGGCTGTATAAGCTTGTAATTGAAATAGAGAACAGGAGAAAAAAGAGGGCCACTCTACAGGGGTGCTGAGAAGAAAAACTATGTCAGGCATTTCATAAATGCTTTATCTGAGTCTTCATCAGGACCAGTGTGTATATGGCTGAAAATGAGTAGTGGAATGAAGGTGCAGGGTGCAATTCACTCCATTTGAGATAGCTGCAAAACAAAAAACAAAGCCCAAGATCTTAAATATGCAAGAGGTGAGGCAGAGGCTCAAAACCAAATAGTCACTTAGCATTCTGGGGTAGTGTTTAGGTCATAAAACTGCAAGGCTGATGGACAGAATTTTTAATAATTTTGTCAAGTTAGAGGACAGAAATTTTACTGCAGAAAATGAAATACAGTGTCTTCGCTAAGGAAAGAGGACAGGAAAAGGTGCAGCCTCAGCAGTATGCAGGGTCTTACAAAAGGATCTGATGGATAGAGAAATTAAAAGGTTGGATGATGATATACAGCACAAAATAGGTTAATCAAAAGTAGATTGTGTCTGACTAATCAGGTATCTTGCTTTTTGATAGCAGGGTTTTTTTCAGTCAAAGGCAATCTTTTCTAATTGAACTTCACTAAAGCAAGTTATCAGTGCCACACAGAAAATGAATAATCAAAATGAGGAAGCTAGGGATTAGTGGAAGAATTGTAGTTGTGAGGAATGAGCTAAGGAGCAGCAGTCTCTGCAAGGCAGAGAGTAGGGAGAGAAGACCTCATTTTGGGGACATCTAAGTACTGACTGACATAGAGGAAAATATACAGAATTACATTTGCTGTTGGGAATTTGGGCACTCTAGAAACTTTAGAGTGTGAAGTATACATTAATATTCTGACAAGTAATATTTAGGGTCAACTTCAACACAAGGTCAGGCATGAAAGGGATAACAAAAGGAATTTCTGCTCCTACCTGGGAATAAAAGGGGAAGAAAAGGCTAAGGTGAATTAGTCAATTTTAGAATAATTATGTGTCATGTAGCTGTAAGAAAGAAAAAAATAAGTCAATACAGGATGCAGTAGCCAGCAAATATTTCCAGCAAGTAGAGGGAATTGTTGGAATAATGGGTATCATTATAGAATTAGTGAGCCCTTTGCTTACCATCACCTACATGGTCTAGGGTTAGCTCATGCTGGGAAAGAACAGAGGAAAAACATTAAAATTATGTGGGATAACAGAATCTTTTCCCACAGTAAACTAATGGTATTTGGTTTGTCCAGCTGAGGAAAACAGAATGACAGGTTGTACAGTTCCTGTCTGCATGCTTGGTACAGGACAGTACCAAGGATGGGGATGAGCAATTTAGGCAAAAGAAAAATATGGGAACAAGAAAAAAAGAAAAAATAAATTAGCAAGTATAAACATTTAAACAATTAAAATCTTTGAGAATCATTCCATTAATGGTGATCCAAATGTACTGAACACAAAGCTGGATGCTGAGGATGATTACAGTAAAAAATGTTCCTGAGCCAGTGGGATGTCCTTCAGCCAATAGTCTGTGCAAAGAACATAGAGACCAGTTAAAAACACTTCCTCTTTCTTACCCAGTTGTTTTAGGTTGGTTTTTTTTTGTTGTTGTTGTTTTTGACTGGTTGGCTGGTTTGTTTCATTTTTTTATTTACTCTGGTTTATTGCTCTCCTCCTTTAACATGGAAAAGCAGATGGGCAGCCTCTGGAGCATTCTTTGAGATGATAACAAAGGTGACTTGGACCAATGTACTCTGCTTTGTGCACACACATGTGTATACATGCACATGTGATTATGTGTATGCATCTGCATGGGCACACAACTATGTGCTAATGAGAAATTAAAATAGGAACAAGGGAAAGGCAATCACTAAATCACTAGACTTTGAAGAGTCAGAAAATATTAAATGCTTTTAAAAGTAGAAAATCCTACTTCAAAATGGCATAGAGCAAAAGATAAATAGGTGTGATTTAAAAATAAAGATTAGGATTTGGATAGATACTGGACCCCAGAGCACAGCTGTTCCAGTTTAACCAAAGCCATGTGACACTGTTGTATAAAAATGTCCTCAGCATGAACCCCTACTTATCTGAGCCAACCATCACAGCATTCCTGGCCCCTGAAAACCTGTGTGGGAGAGAGTGGTATGCTTAACCTGTGCCACAAGGCATGGGGTCCCCAAACTGTGGCACCCCTCTGATATGCAACGCATTTCAAAATACTGTGCAGAGAAAAACAATCACAAACCCCCAAGCCTCAAAAAATCCACCACCAAAACCTATCTCACCTGCCTTACCTCTGGAAGTCTTAGGCAGGAGTCAGCTGGATTCCTCTTGTACACAGAGCTGGGGCTACTGCAGGTGACTGAGGTGAGGGCATTGAGGAAAGGAGTGGGGCAGTCTGGAAGAAACTTTTGCTGATGCTACCAGTGCATCTCTCCCTTTAAAGAAGGCCTGTGAACCTGTGCCTTGGGAGGCTGGACAGCTGCTTCCTTCATGTGGCAAACCTTCTGGAAGGAGGAGGTTTGAGTGCCAGCAGAAACTCAGCAGGAGCTGAGAAATGCAGGTTCTGCATAAAACACCTCTCTTTTCTGGCACCTGACTCCCATCAGGTTTGGAAGCAGCACATGCTGAGAGCAAGGGGCTGCTCCTCTGGAGGTGCTCCCTAAACATGAGCACATGCTGTTCATGAACTTACTGCTGTGCTCAGGGGACGTGCTGGGTGCCAGTGTGTGACCTGTGTGTGATCACAAGGAATCACATAGTTTGTTATTCTAGCATGCACACACAGACTGCCTTACATGAAAGCTTAGCTGAGGAAAGCTTAACAGCATTGAAGCCTAGGATGTCTGTGTAAAACAAAAGCAAACCAATCAAAATTGACACTGAAATAATTTCAAAAGTCCATTAAAGAATGTTGTATTTTAAAAACCCTCCCCCCACCTCAACCAAACTAGAACCTCTCAAAATAAAACAAAAAAAAAAAAGAAAGAGTTGGCGTGTATCTAAACAAGGGAGCAGCTCATCTAATTGCTTATCTGTCCAAACCTGGAGAAGATTTGGAAAGCTGACTTTGCTGGCAATCAAAAATCATCTCAGTCATGGTCAGAAGCCTTCAAAGCCCACCTCTGAATGGACACCAGGGCCTGTCCAGCCCTTCAGGGACTGTCACATAGAGAGTAGAACTGTACATGCAGCTACAGGCAGCACACAGCCCTGATGTCATTCCTCATTCAGTACATCCAGGCCTGAAGCTGCCTTCATGAATAACTTGATGAAACAGTTGAACAGTCTTCATAACACAATGAACATAACATTACACATGAACATAACACAATGGTTCAAGAACTTCTAGGAGTTTTATTGTTCTCAGGGTGGCACTGAGAAAAAATATGGCTGTTTTGGAGCAACATTACTCGCCTTTTATTCAGACTGAAATTGTGGCTTTATTATTATTATTGCTATTAGTGTACTACTGGAGAAAAAGAGAGTTTGCAAATGCTCTTGAAAGTGCTGGTTGAGTCTGCTCTTCCTGCTCAAATAGTGCTGTTAATGTTTGATAGCAGCTGCCTGAGAATACAAGCCTTTGAACTGTGTATTGTTCTCAGAGGTGGTTTGTCTTTTTTGTTATACATATATATATATATATATATATATACACTGGAGCCTGGCTGCAAGTTTCTCAGGCATGACATAAATGATTAGAGCCCTGCTCAGAAGTGTTGTCAGTTTTAAGTATTCTATTCAGATGTTACCATCTCTGCTTCCGACCCAAACCCGCCGTGCGCTTGCACCGCTCTAAGGAGTGGTTGTGTGGTTACTGCGCAGTGAGGATTAGTCACACATTAACCACAGCTGTAAAAACACATCTATGGGGAAATCACAGCCAAACACTGAGGCCTTTGAGGCTGCTGCTCATTTCCAAAGAGGTGGGTTTCTCTTCCACTTTGCTCCAGCGTTGTGCAACAGACTGTTCACTGGCAAGTTCACTTTGCTGTTGAGGGGCATTGTAGCTTTTCCTCTGGCACTTGCCTTCCTTCTCCACTTCCATGGACCAGGGTGGACAGAGGTCTTACAGGTAGAGTCGAGTCAGCCAGTGTCTCTAAGCCAGCAGGTCCTGGCAGGGGAAGGGGTACTCACACTGTTTCAGTGTTAAGCCACATGATTCCAGTGGTACCTGAGGCAAAGCAGGTGATGTCAAAAGATGACTTAGGGCTAGAAACTTTGGGTCTGGGAGGAACAAGGGCACCCTTGCTCATTGCCAAGATGACAACTAAAGGCTGTGGCAAGTTCTCTTGCTTTTTTTTTTTTTCTGCTTAACAGGAAATCCCTGTTGTCCTTCTCTCAACATGACCCATTCTGCACAGTTCTCAGCAAAGTATAGATCCTGCACTCAGTTTTCAAGTCCTCCTCTTCACATTTTCTCTGAGGTAGAAAAGCTGGAGAGCTTAGAGAAGAAGGAGAAGCAGGACAGCAGCATTCCCCCCAGGAACATGTGACTTGTTGGAGCATTCTGCATCGAGCTTTGGCCTTTGAATACTGCTGGTGTCACAGTACACAAGTCAAGGTTTCCAGGAGAGCATCCCAAATCATCATCCACCAACCATGGATTCTGTTATCTCCCACTGTTGTTGGATTCCATGGAAAGAATGGCAAACCTTCTTAATAGGAGTATTTTTTGAGGGGAACAAAAAGGCAGTGCAAATGAGAAATAAACAATTAGGAATGCTTTCTCCAAAGCTGCTTTGGGCAAACAAAGAAAAGCAGCACTCATGGAGAACATGTAATTACCATGTCCTCTGCTCCACCCTTGCCTTCTCAAAAGAAAATTTCTGTATTTACTGATTTGCTTCAGGCCTGTGTCACATGTCCCATTGCAATTCAGCAACCAACAAAGTCCCTTTCACATAAATAAATGAGGTTCCTTTAGATTCCTATTGAGTACATAAAGGACAACAAGGCAGTCCAGCTTCCTGGTGTTTCTGAAAGTGATGTCCCTATGTTTGGGAACTGAAGCTGGGAATCCTCAGCCAGTTTCTGTGGTTCCATTAGGATTTCTGAAGCCATGTCCTCACCCTGGCTCCTGCCAGAAAAGGGAATTTAGGCTGAGGTATACATATGGTATAATACTGTAATGTGAGGAGTTGTATTGTTCTGAGAAAGTGTGTGTTTTCTATGCATTAAGTTTGTTTCCCTCCTTACCAAGCACCACTGCCTCTAATGCCTGCTCCAGCTTGTTTTCCTGTTACCCAGCAGCAGACTTCAGACCTTGCCTCCTCTTCCCTTTCTGCAGTAATAGAAGTTACCTGGGGCTTCTCTGAACGAGGCAGCACAAACTCCAACTTTGCTTTGAGCATGGAGGCATTACTATTGATCTAGGACAGAAAAAGAGGATCTGGAATTATTTCATGCAGAGGGTTCCTACACTGATCCCCAGTTTCATAAATGGGAAAATAAATCCTGCACATCACAGTCCTCTGGCCAGTTAGGGCACTTTGCATGTTATTTAGCCCCTCGAGGAAGTTGCTTGTCTTCCCATCAATCCTTCAGCTCCTTTCCATTGCACTCATCCATGTTGAACGAGGTATGAGCAATGAGAAACAGCATGGGACAAACTTCACAGGGCACATTTCCCCTCCAGAGGCAGCTACATAGCCTTCTGTGCTATGGTTCTCCTTCAGGTACACAAGGACTGAAAGTGGGCTGAAAAGTGTGCTGAAGTTTCAGGAATAAGTGTTTAAACCCTGTCTTCCCACACCCACTGTAATACTAATGACAATATTGGACCCAAATATTCTCTTGTTTACTACAGAGAACGAATATATGTTTTCAGAAGTTCTTGTACTGCATAGTAAAGAAAGTCATCTGAAGGCTAGTCCCTGCAGCCTGGAGATGGTGGCAGAGCTGGGGGTCTCTAAATCACATACTCCTCTTGCTGCTGCAAGAGGAAGAGCATGGTCATATTCTGAGGGCTGGGCTGCTCCTTGCACCCCCAGATAGCAGCCTGGGGACAGACTACCCATGGGCAAGAGAAGCTGTTGTCAAAACCTACAAGAAAGGGTTCTCCAGGTATGTCAACAGCAAGAGGAAACAGAAAGAAAATACTGAACTGCTATCCAGCAGGAGAGCTGAATTAGTCACCAATAACACTGGAAAGGCAGAGGTTCTCAACCCTTTCTTCACTCCTGTCTTTACCAGCTCTGCTGGACCCTCAGGCCTATGGAACAGAAGTCCAGGCTGACGCAAACACAGGCCCACAGTCAGTGAGGGAAGAGCTGGTCTGTGAACTATCAGAGGAGCTTGGGCCTGCACACCAATGGACTCTGGCAGCATCCACCCCAGGGTGTCAAGAGCTGATGTCATGGTTGAGGTCACCATCCAGTCACAATCTTTGAGGAGTCATGAAGATTGAGGGACATCCCTGAAGACTGGAAGAAGGTTAAGGTCACCTCCATCTTCAAGAAAGGCTTTAAGAAGGACCCAGGAAATTATAGGCCCATCTCTCTTACTTCATTCCCTGGGAAAATTGTGGAGTGAATCCTCCTGGGGGCTATCACAAGTCAGATATAACATGTTATTGGGAAAAGCCAGTACAGATTCACCACAGGCAAACTGTGCTTGAAAAACCTGATTGCCTTCTACAATAAAGTAACCTGCTTGGTTGATGTGGGGTGAGCAGTGGACATTGTTTATCCAGATTTCTCAGAGGCTTTTGATCCAGTTTCCCACAGCCTCCTCCTAGAGGAGCTGATGTGTTACAGTCTAGACAAGCCTTTGGAATAATCTCCCCAGGAAAGCTGAATTCCTCAGCACTGGACACTTCTGAGATTCAGCTCAACAGGGCAGAGGGCCATCTTACCTAGACCATGCTTTTACTAAGAAGGGCTGGACCAGATGAACCTTGAGGTCCCTCCCAACCTGATATTCTATGATTCTCTGATACACAACTTACCTACTTTGGATCTTGTATGTAGCAAAGATGCTCTCCACTAAGGTCATCATCTGTGTTTTAATATCTTTCTCTATTAAGGGAAAAAAAAATGTTGCCTCACAGCAGTGATTGAAAAGTTAGTAGAGAGAAGGCTGAAAAGTTTTTATGATCCTACAGCAAACGTCTGTATATATGCATACAATTGATAAAATAAATTTGTTTGAAAGAATCTGTGCTCAATCCTAAATACAGTCTCAGCAGCTGGCACCACTGCTGAAGCAAAAAAGGGTGTGAGCGCGTTTCCACAAGGATTATTCTTCAGTTACCAGTCCCACATCTGTGGTCAGCGTGAAACCAACAGCTGGGTTTTGGTGGTGTTTTCTTCCTGCCCTTTCTCCTGCCTACAACACTGTGAGGTGCTTGGCCATCCCTAGGGATGGGTGGCTTTGACTGGAATGAGGCATCTTTCAGGTGCCCATCTTGTGTGACCTCAGAGAGGGAAAGAGCCTCAGAGCTCGAAAGTCATATTTATGTTGAAAAAGAAGTTCAGCTAAACCCTGACTGGTGCTTCCATGAGGTACATAGATAATAAAGAAGATCTTTTAAATACACAGATGAAGGTATACACACCAGGACAAAAGTTTCATAGAACTTAATAAACCTGAACCAAATGTCATTTTCTTTTCTTGAGAAATTACCAAATATCAATTGTGATAGGCCATAACCAAGAGAAAGAAATACAGCACCTGAGACCAGTCATACTCTGCTTGCAGTGTTTTTCCTTTGGCTTCTTTGGATGAAGCCTTGTGCTCTCTCATGTACCCAATGAGCATCACCTGTGGTGTGAGATCTGACCCCATTCAGACATAGCTAATGCTCACTTGTTGGGAAACATCACATACCACCAGGATCTTCCAATTCCTGCTGATTGTGTTGCTAAAAAATGAAGTAGTTTTACAATAATTTTTGCAAAACAAAGAGTATCTGACTAGAGGGAAAAGAAAAAACAATAACTGAAGTTCAGGATGGAGCTCTTCCTCTGAAACAGCTTACAGGGCCACCAGGCAGGACAGTGCATGAAGATGTGAGCAGCTGGTGGTGGTGAATCAGAAACAGGCAGGAAGGAATCTGCTGAGGGGGCAGGAGTGCAGCCTCATGCCAGCAGCCGCTGTGGTTGGTGGAATTTCCTGTCTGTCTGTCCTGCGGTCAATGTCACTGTGTGGCTTTTGAAGTCCGGAGAGCTCAGACTGAAGGAGCCTGTCCCATGCAGGTTCTCATGTTCCTGTTGTTCTTGCCTGGTCTGCTTGTGCAAGGGAGGAAGGCCGAAGGGCTGCCCAAAGTCGTTCAGGAGCAAGAATCCTGGTGAAATTCAACACCAGCTCTGAATGTCTTAATTGCTGAAACCTGGGCCTTTGTATGCTTCCCAAGGAACAGAATTCAGGAGGCAAAAGCTGGCTGATGGAGCTTCATGTGTGCCTGCCTTCCTGATGGAAAGCCAGTCCAGGGGGAAAAGCCAGCTGGACTGTAAGCATATCAAAATAACCAGGAAAGAGAAGGCTCTGGGGAGATCTTATAGCACCTTCCAGTACCAAAAAGGGCTTCAAGAGAGCTGAAGAGGGAGCTTTTACAAGGGTGTGGAGTGATTGGACTAGGGGGAATGGCTTTAAGCTGAGAGAGGGTAGGTTTAGGTTAGATATTAAGAAGAAATTCTTTCCTGTGAGGATGATGAAACACTGTAACAGGTTGTGCAGAGAAGCTGTGGATGTCCCATGCCTGGAAGTGTTCAAGGCCAGGCTGGATGGGGCTTTGAGCACCCTGGGATAGTGGAAGGTGTCCCTGCCCTTGGCAGGACAGTAACTGTATGTAACTAGATGTCTTTAAGGCCCCTTCAATCCAAACCATTCTGTGATTCTGTGTGTGCAAAATAGGTTTACATTAACCAAATTCCAGCAGCAATTATTTGCTGGACATCTGTAACCATTTCAGGATTTTAGTACATTTAGCAGCTCTTCTATGCACTCCTGGCTGCTGACATCAGATGAATACTGTGTGTGCTTGTTAGGTACAGGAGCACTTTGAGACGTCCTCCTGCACTGACCAAGATTAGAAGTATGGTAAAATGGATTAAATTAACACGATTAAGCAATACTCCCTTCCTAGGGAAGAGACCCTGACATTTATGATAACCCAGTGTCGATGAGCTGAGTCAAGTACAACACCTACACAAACCCTGAGCTCACAGGACAGTCAGGATGGTAGGAGGACGTTGCAAAGGTCTTTATTTTCCACGGGTTTCACAGAAATAGGAGAAGAAAGCCGACTCCATTAGTGCCTGACCGAGGGAGAGGCTGCAGAGTTCAGCCCACGTTAGATAACTGAATGAAGAGAGAAAGAGCTTTGTAATGAGGGCTCCCAGCACAGGAAACGACCAATTAGTCCCGCTGCTCACAGGGTGACTTGTTTTTCCTGTCAGGGCTCGGAAGACTCCTAACAGGGAGTGACAGGAGCGGATTGTGAAGGTCAGATAAAACCCGCGGCATGTTCGGCTCCGGCGCTGCGGCCTACCCTGACCTGCAGCGGGCAGTCCCCAGGCCCAGGTGAGCCCTGCCCCGTGTCCCCCTGCCCAGAGGTGCCATGGCCTCTGACACGGGGCAGTGATGTGTTTGTGGCAGCTTGTGGCGGCACACGGAGCTCCTGAATTTCTTTCAGAAAATCTGAATTTATCTTTCAGATATTTCTTGAGCATCGTCCTGGGAAGCGGGAGTTTGACAGGGTGTGCGGTCCCTGGGGAACTCACATGGGAAACAGGGGCGGCTCATCGCTCACCTCCTCTGCCAGATGGGGCAGGCCTCATTTGAGCCAATAAATGAAAAGTTTAAGTTGAATTCTGGGCCTAAAATATAGACATCTTAGTTCAAACTAGTATGACCAGGCTAGAGATGGTAATTTTTTTTCACTGGAACAGGGCTGAGCAGGTTCAGAATTCAATGGAATACATTGTGAATTACACGAAATATAATCTGACTCCTCATTGTTTTCGCTGGAAAATTAAATAAACTACATTAATACCTGCTTTGCCCCCAGTGTACAATGTATTTGTTCTGTGAGATGACACCCATAACACAACTGTGTAAGTTCAGTAAAGCCATCTTTTTTTTGTGAAAAAGAATTATGAAGGTAATGACAGATAATAAATACCTCTCCAAGCTTTCAGCCCTAGCAATTCCTGAGTCCTAAAAATGGTTGCACATAAGAACTAATGGAGACACACTCAAGGCTTCGAGTGCCTGACGCTTGCCTCAGGAGCAATGCAGCTGCTTAATTGCTTGCCAGGCCACAGGTGACTAAATCCTGTGGAAAAGGTTTTAAACAGAGTAGTGTTTCATTTCTACTTTGCAAAGCTCTTCCTCGGAGGCAGGCAAAAAGCTTTACAGTGCTGTTACCATAGGAACCTGCCTTTGGGCTTTGGCTGAGCAGGGGATGCCTGGAAAACCACCTGTCCACACTCCCATTCACACCATGGCTAAACTATCCAAGACATGAAGGTGGTTAGTGAAGAATAAATAGCAAAGTCATGGTCTTTGTGGGCTTTATTTCTTCCTGAAAATGTATCAAGTTTATCTAGTCCTGTTAAAGAAACCCTTGTGGTCCCTGACCACTGAAGGATGAAAATTAACTTTCTTGTTCTCCAGGGTTGACAGGATCACTTAGGAAACTTTAAAAATATTGCCTATGATTCTGTATGGTGAAAGCATGAGTGTCTGTGTGGGTGTTACATTTCAGAATGACTTTTGTTTTGTCAGGTTTTCCTAGACCTTGTACTCTGGGTGTGCTCTGTCCCTGAGCCATCTGCCTGTGTATTTCTTCTGACTTCTGACTTTCTCACCTTAGGAGATGCAGTCCTTAAGCTTTTACAGGCCAGAGCCTGAGACTCTGCTTGGCCATAGCCATGAAGTTCCTGAGTTGAAAATTAATGAGATAAATAATGGCATAAATTAAATAAAATTGTCAACTTTTTTTTCCATCCATGCTATTTAGGACCATATGCTACAAATATCTAGAAGGTATCAGGATTTGGAGAACTAAACTGGAATTAATTAATTCTGCTTGGTTTTCCCTCGGCCAGAGCTCATAGGGGCAGGAGCAGAGCTCAGCCATGTGCATGGGAGCTGCACTGTGCAGCTGTGCCCCAGAGCAAGCAAATGGTCCCTGGCCTATTTTATTTATTAATGAAGATTGAAGAGAGGCGTAAAACCTGGATATACTCTGTTAAGTGATTTTAAAATTAAAGAAACTTCTAAATGTGTGTTGTGGTTAAAGCTGGAAATTGAGCCCCATGGAGCCGCTCCCTTCCCCCCATCCCATCTAGTGAGAGAGACAAAAGGCAGAAATTCTGAGCTGAGGAGATAAGGAAACAAGCAGGAACAGCACCAGCAACAATATTAGTAACAAAAGTATACAAAAAGAGGGTGACTTCCATACAAACATCATTCTCACTGACTCACTGACCTGAGCAGGTGCCACACACCTCCTGAGACAAGAACAAAAATTGTCCCATAGATCCTCTGCATGTACCTTTTCCTTCCTGACTGCAAGCCATCCCCGCCAAAACTAGGACAGTTGGGAAACTGGGAACTTAAAAAATGCTAAGTGTGAATTATTTCCACCCTACAGACATGATGAAGGAACTGGGGTGAGCACACTTGTGCCATGTTTTGACAGAGGACAAGCACACCAGGGATAAATGTTGAGAACACAAAGCTCCCGAGCATTCCTTTCATTTAGTGCCTGGATCCATGAAATCTGAGTCCCTGGCAGAGCAGGTCATGGAGCACTGCAGTGTCCTGTCCCTTGCTGTGATGATGGGGCAGCAGCTGTGGCACAGTTTCCCTCTGGACTCCCCACTGCCTCTCCTTCCACTGGGAGCCAGGACAGTTCCATCTTGGCCCAGGAGTTCAGGAGCATTGCCAGCTACCTGAGGCTGGAGCTATCAAAGGGACATTGAGTGAATTTTTAAAACAAAGATAGATTTTTCCTTTTAAAAAAAGGCAGTTCACTGGCTTCTGTGGTGGCTGTTGAGGGACTTTTTATTTGTACTCCAGCAGCCAGACTGCAGAACACATGCTGGGCTTGCTTATCTGCCCTTGTATCTTCCATAATAAATGCAAGCCTCACCTTTCCAGCAGCATTGTTTGGAAGGTTTTTCTTTCACAAAACTCAGTTAAACATCTTTCAACTAAGCATCTTTCAACAGACAGAGTTTTTCCCCTCAATATGTGCATGAAGAAAAAGATGTGCCTTCAATCTGTGATGTGCCAGCAGATAGATGGGTGTTTAGCATGGAAAAAAGCATTAGGTGGGAAGGCTCAGAAGAGAGTGACAACAAGCCTGAGGGCTGATATCTTTGCCCAGACACTTTTAGTAAAACAGCAAAGAGGAAAGAAAATAATTTATTCTTTTTTATGCACTTCAATTCCTCCACAATTCAGGGGGATTTGAACTTCCAAAGTCCAAGAAGTGTTTGGACAGCTCTCTCAGGCATATGGTGTGACTCTTGTGTTGGTCCTGTGCAGAGCCAGGAGTTGGATTAGATAATCCTTGTCGCTCCTTTTCAACCCAGGTTATTTTATGATTCTAATTCCATCTCTGCAGCACCAACTTGAGACATGTCCCAGTGAGGTGCAGTTTTCTGGGACCACTGCTCCACCCCTCCTCATGCTGGGATCTCAGCCATGAGGATGGGTGGTGCCCCAGGGCAGGAGCTGGTTCCCCAGAGGAGTTTCTGTGGTCCAAGGAGTGAGCAACAGGAAGGTTTGGGCAGGCAATGGGCCCTGTGGGTTGCTGCATGTGAAGCTGTGGGCTTGGGACAGGAGGGTACAAATACACAGATGTATTTGTATTTCAGTCCAGCCTGGGGTTCCAAACCACCATGCAGAAGAAAGGAGGGAGATGGCAGACCTGAGATCACATTTTATGCTATTTCCTGTGCCAAATCATGAATCTTTTTCTAATTCCAGTGGGGTTCAGGCCCCTGGGGTGCTTGTGCTGCAGCCAGACCAGTTTGCAAAAACACAGCCCAAAGGGCTCCCAGAGTGGATGTCAGTAACCATCCAGCCCTGGCGGAACTTTGTTCCCAGGAAGTTGCAAAACCTGCCTGGGAAGACAGGCAAGTAACCAGGCTCCAGGCAGCCCAAGTGCTTCCTTAAAAGGCTTCTGGAACTGATTCATGAGTGTTGTCACACATGGGATTTTATGAAGTGCTCATCTCCATCCCTGAGCCTTCTCCTTTTGCAGTCACTGGTGAGATTTCACTGAGGGTATGGCAGTACCCAGGAGTGAAGCACACACACCCTATGTGTAAAATTTCATGGTCTATGAGCTGTTATTATATGGCCCAGACGTTCCTGCAGCCTGAAGAAGCCTCATGGTTCCCTGGAGGACTCCTTGCCTCAGCACTGGAAGCAGAGCTGGGAGCTCTTTGTCCTCCACCTCTTCTTCCTCCTCCTCATTTCATGTAACACACTGAGCATGGCAAGGGGTGAACTCTAGAAATTACATCTGCTGTCAAAACAGAAAATAACAGCCTATTCTTTATTATTTATTGCTAGCCTGCTGTTTGTCTGGGTTAGTGGGATAATCAACTGCTGAAGGACTTGGTCAGTGACATTCAGTTAGCACAGGTTTGCACAGTGATGTTTTTTAAGACCTCAGAGAGT